TCCTACACTACCAAAGCACTAACAAGGTTATAAAAAGATAGCACTTGAATTTTTTTAAAAGGGTAGGGGGTGGTTTCCTGTGACTGGTGGGAAGAGAGAGGTCAAAGATATTTCAGAGAAGTAGAGTGGGGACTAGGGATAAGAAGTACTCCGGGTAATCTTCTGGAAGAAAGCAAACAGCTTAACAGGGAACCTCCACTAGAGTGGGACAGCCTTGAGAGCTGGGAGCAAACCTCAGCCAAAATCCAGCATGGAAACAGGGATTCAGTCTTACGGCCCCAAGACATGAATTCTGCCAACTGTCAGTGAGCTTGGTGGTGGACCCCCCTCAGCTGAGGACAGCACAGTCAGCCCCTTCATGTCAAGCTGATAAAACATGGACAGTCAGCTACATGGTGGCCATACCCCTGATCCACGGTAGCCATAGGAGTAATACATGTGCCTTGTCTTAAGCCACTGAGTTTGTGTTAATTTTTTTATGGCACGAAGATGGCCCTTATTCACTGTCTATTCAAAACTCTGGTTACTTTTCTCTGCTGATGAGTTTGGGTTTCTGCATTCATGTCAGAGGCTTCCTCTTGAATATCTGGTGATTCTTGGTTGTCCATGTATATTTTGAAAGATGCACGAAATCAAGGGTTGGAAGGTCTGTGTGCACAAGTAGTGCTTATGTCTGTTTCACTGCAGGAATATTAGGCAAGGTTTCATTAGCTGCAGTAGAGACACCCAAATGTCAACCCCTGTGGCGTTTTTACTGGGGATCATTCTCCCCAGGATGAATCTCCAAATCCCCAGCTCTGGTCAAAGGCATGCAAGCCAGGCTGTCAACAGGCAGCAAGTCAAGAGTGGGGAGTGCAGGGGAAGTATTCGCTCATCCTTGAGAGAAAGCAGACTCTCCTACAACCCTCTGATTTTTCACAAGGCACCTCATCTCACCCTTATCTGTGTCTGGAGGCCCTGTAGCTATAGCCTTTCCAGCTACACTGCCCAGAATACATGTCCAGTCTCCGGCTGCAGTGGAAGAGGAGTCGTCTCGGAAGTTCCAGGTCAGGGAGGAGGGCTGGAAATCGAATCTCCATGCAGAGCTCCCTCCAATCTTCCTCTCTTGAGTCTCACAGCTCTCTCTCACCAGTGCCTTCAAATGTACCCGACACTCCCACTTACCAAGCTTTCCAGACATGCAGTAATCAAATCTCAAGGCCTTTTCCCCCGGCAGACAGCGAGGGGTCTCAGCAATCTCCCATGTGCTAAGTGAGCAAGCATTTACCTGCCAGCTTTCCAGATTCCAGATCAAAGGGAGGTGACAACCCTCATCTGCTTTAACTGTCTTTCCCTCTGCTCTGTGGGTTTGGAATTTTTACTTCCTTTACTAATATTTTCATAGTCACTTACTCATATACTCAGAGTTTCATACAGAATCTGAAGGGAGCACACTCAAGCAGAGGACAGCTGTCATCACTGCTTCAGCTAGAAATCTTCCTCCTCCTGTTCCTTGGCTCCTTCTGGAACTCCTGGAACTTTGCCTGTGAGTGCTCCTGGACCTCCACACCATCCTGCCTGTGGTTTTCATATGAATTTTCCATGTCTATGTAATGGATTCTGTTGTGCTTCAATCTGTTCTTTCATGCAGACTTTCAAAGCACGGATGCTGTCCCCAGCAGAGGCCATTCTCTTTCAGTTCTTCTGCTGCATTTCAAAACACGGCCTCTCCATAGAGTTTTCATTACTAGATTTTTAAAATTCTGTGTATTCCATTAGTTCCGCCTCAGTAAGAGCTGCCTGCTTTTCTCGTTCTTCCTCCTTCAAGCACTGTGTCTCTCTCAACGGACCATGACAACTCTGCTGACTCACGACTTCTTCCCCGACTCAGCACCTGATAAGGACATGTTGAGGCGAAGAGGCAGGTGGTGAAAGGGAGCTGCTTTCTTCAAGTGCAAGAAAATGAGGTCATCTCCCTGCTGCCTCACAGACTCAAGCAGATGGGTCCCCATTTCTGTCTTACTCCAGATCTCCTGACAACAGGAACGCTGGCCCTGCAGGAAGACAGGGACCTGCCCTTATCTCTCCCACAAGGTGAAAACACACCTTAGGGCTCCCCTCACCACTCACCCTGCCTGTTGTGTTGCTCCAGAGAGCAAAGGGGAAGTCGGTGTTAGGATCCACACATTCAGGCCCCATCTCACCACCAGAGCTAAAGTTTCTAAATATTCATTCAGATACACAGAAATCACAGTGATTCCGGGAAGAAGTAAACGCGTCATGCCACAGTTCTGATGCTCTGAATGGTTTAGATCTTTCCAGTTCTTAAGTTGGGGTTAAGAGAAATGTTTTAGATGGGATGGCTCCTGGGAGAAGTAACCCTTGAGCTGTTCGGAAATCTGGGTGACTGCAGATGACAGCCAAGCACACATCTGGGGGAGGAGCTTTACAGGCACAGGGAACAGCAATGAGAAAAGCCCAGGGGGTGAGTACAGCAGGTTGAATGTGTTCAAAAAGCAACAAGAAAAACTATGTGGCTGGAATGGAGTGAGCATAAGGAGAAGTCAGAAAAGACAAGGGCTAGGAGGAGGACAGGGACCAGATGGAGGAGGGCAGCAGAGGTCATGCTAAAGAGTAAGAGTATTATTTCAGCATGCAGGATAGTATTAAGAGTCTGAGCAGGGAAGAAACGAGGCTGATTCACACTGTGTGAGGTATACTCTAGTTGCTACATGGACACCAGACTGTGAGTCCCAGAAATGATAGAAGAACAGTTACTGAGAAATTCAATTAGCCATCCTGGTGGGAGATGAAGAGAGGCAATGAAGTCAGTGGTGAGGTCTTAAAAAACAGATGAGAGCAACTCTGCATCAGGCCCTAAAAGACTAATAGGGAAAGGATTTACCTCCCATGTAAAACACCCAAAGCATAGACAAGTTCTATGAAACATCAGTATTTAAGACACTGTACATGAAAACAACGTGGGACAGCAATCCCTGAGCTCCACATAACCTTCACTTAGACGTGATTGATCTGCAATGTTGTGACACGACAATATCGAGGAAGGCCCTAACAGAAGCCTATAAAAGCTTTCCAAGTCGTGAAGATGCTTGGTTAACATACCCTCCTGGGCCTCCCTTGTGGCACAGAGGGTTGAGCGCCACCCTGTGAAGCTGTCCACAGCCTCTGCAGTGTGGGTTCGATTCCCAGCCAGGCAGGGAGAAACCCACATGGCGCGACAGACCTCTCCTTCTCACCCACTGCTCCCCTCAGCAGAGTCTTCCATCTGTTCTTCTTCCTACTCTGTCTCTGGTGCATTCTCTCACCCTCCTGCACCTCTGGCCTGTACCCCAGGTTCTTGTATAAATAAATAAATCTTTTTAAAAAATAAATAAAATCCCCTCCTCATGAATTGATACTGGTATACTGCAGTATATATACCTACCTGCATTTCCAAAGATACATAAAATTGCATCAGAGATCAGTACTAACATGAAAACTTGCAATCAGCTGAATGAATAAGGACAGAACATTGCTCCCAAATTAAGCAAAATGTTATCTCTTCCCCCAAAAAAGATGTCTATGTGTCTCATTGGTAGACCGGTACTAGGAAAAAAAATGTATTCAATTCTATCAGTAACAATATCAGTAGTATATTTTATCATGTCAACGAAAAATTTATAGAAATGTTTTCTTTCCTTACACGAGTACCTACGTGAGATCCACAATTTGACTCTTTTTTTTTTTCATTTTTTTAATAAGATTTATTTATTTATACAAGCACTGGGTACAGTCAGAAGTGTGGGAGGGTGAGAGAATTCACCAGAGCGGGGAGCAGAACAGGCAGAGGGACAGAAGTACACTGCTGAGGGGAGCAGCGGGCGGCAGGAGAGGTCTGCGCGCCATGAGGGACCCTCCTCCAGTGGTCCGGGAGCAGCCGGGGATGGAACTGGTGCTGCAGAGGCTGCAGGCAGCGCTCAACCGCTGCGCCACCGGGGAGGTCCACACAATTTGACTCTGACTCACAAATCCGAAGATACTTACTCTCTGACTATTTACACAAAAAAGTTTGTCAATCCCCCCATACATCAATCTCAGTAAATCCAGGCTCTCCTCTGTATTCTACACAAGTAAAATGCTGCATCAAATAATAGATGTTAAACCATATTTTCAAGGTACCTCGGGGGTTTCAAAGGAATACATAGGAGGCATCTGAATGTGAAGACATCCAGGGAAGCTTCTCCTTCTGGAGGAAGGAGGTAAAACCCAGAGAAAAAGAGACCTGTCCAGCCTTGGACCAGCTTATAAATTACCGAGCCCTGCCTCTTCCTCTACTTCACTAGTCTGCTCCTTCAGGGCTTTCAGCTACTCACTCTAGAAACCTTCAGTAATGAAAAATATGACCAAACCACCAGTTCGAGAAATCCTTCAAAAGATGCAAACCAGGGGCCTCCCCAGTGGCGCAGCGGTTGAGCTCTGGGTTGCGAAGCTGCCTGCAGCTTCTGCAGCGCCTGTTCAATCCCTGGCTGCTCCCCGGCCACTGGAGGAGTCCCGCATGGCGCACAGACCTCTCCTGCTGCCTGCTGCTCCCCTCAGCAGTGTACTTCAGTCCTTCTGCCAGCTCTGCTCCCCGCTCTGGTGAATTCTCTCACCCTCCCGAGCTTCTGACTGTACCCAGTGCTTGTATAAATAAATAAATAAACAAATCTTAAAAAAAGAAAAAAGAAAAAAAAAAGAAACTTTATTTAAAAAAAAAAAAAAAAGATGCAAACCAGAGTCCGTTTTAATGCCCTGCTTTGCATTGTCCTCAGATCTAAATTTTCCAGCTATTCCCACCATCCTGGTTTGGTCCCAGAAGCCATCTCTCAGACCTCAGTGTTTCCCAACGAAGTTCTAAGTAAAATGTAAAACACAAAGAAAAAGACTTCAAGGTATGTGAAGGCCAAGAAATACTACTAACAAAACGGATAACAAAACAGATACCAAACTGAAGTTTTTGATGAAACCAGAGAAAATCATACCTTGCTTGGCAGCTAAGAAGCAGCATCTCATGGTTATGAATCAAAATATATAATAGAACCAGGAAGGCTTTTGCTCTGATGGAAGTTGAGGGGCTGTCAAGTAAACGAATAATTGTAGAGATGAAATCCTGTGGAAGACATTAAACATTTTTCTGAGAAAACAAAAAATAAATGGGGCCAACGACTCTAAATGAACAGATTATAATAATCAAACAGATGGCAGGAAATAAAATAATATCAGCTACCATTTTTGCATGCTTAATTGTGCTGAACTCCATACTAAATTTTAAATATGCATCATCTCATTTAAAACTGAAAATTAGCCATTAAAAGTTGACAATAATATCCCTATTTTATAAAGGAAGTCTATCTTGAAAATTTAAACAGTTTTCCCTAATTCACATAGTTGGGTTCAAATCCAGGCCAGTCAGAAAATAAAGTCTGCCTCTCACTATTCAATCCACAATTGGAAGGGTGGCAATAATTAAACAACTAGAAGTCACAACTGCATGTAGATATGAGCACACCTGCATACACAGAGATCAAATATATATATGAGGTTCTAGGGAGATAAAATTTAAAATAGCAAATAATTTACACAAAGAAAAACCTATATTTCTATAACATTCTTTAATTAAAGGTACACCTGGCTCTGGTGAATTCTCTCACCCTCCCATGCTTCTGACTGAACCCAGTACTTAAATAGATAGATAAATAGATAAATAAATAAATAAATCTTTTTAAAAAAAAAAAGGTACAACACAATATAGCACAAAGGAATAAGTATTGACTATGATCAGTGTCAATTTCCCTTCTACAGAGAGATTAGACATCATTTCAGTGCCTGATATACAAAAAGAAAATCCAGACAAACACACGTGAAGTTAATGATGTAAGTAGACAGCAATAAGGAATTGGAGAATTAGTAAAATACCTACAGAGAGCAGGAATGTAACTTTCCAAGTCCTTAACATAGGCAAGAATCTCACAGTAACACTTTGTGTCCAAGGCAGGCTTAACAAACTCAATTTTTTCCACAATACAATCCTTTTATTGACTGTTGCATTGTCAGATCAGAGAATCCACAAAGGCATGCATATGCTATTTCAGGATGGAGATGTATCTATATCTAAACATCAGACTTGCCTAGTTTCTCAACCAAATAAGCTAATTCATCACCGGTGGAGAAAAGCAGAATCAACATGAAGATGCCCTTGAGTAACATATCAGTTTCTACCTTTCCAGCATGTAGACAGAAGAAACTCCCATTTTCACAGAGTCAAGTTCAAGGGACCATGATCACGTTTCCCACACCACCTCCACTGCCACCACTTCCACCTGCTCACAAATAATTCCATTGAAGTTTTGGAATAGACAGGGAAACTTTCAGGTTAAAAGAAAGGAAAGAGACAAGATAACTGACTGCAAAGCAAGATGTGGAAGTTTTGATTTCCATAAAGAACATTACTGGATCATTAGCAAAATCTGAATTGGGTATAGATTAGCTAATAATGTTGTACTCAGTATTAATTTCTTGAGTTTTAAACTAATGACTTGGCTTTTTTTTTTAACATCCAGTGAAGTAATTAGAGGTAAAGGAGCATCACGTATGCAACCTCTTCTCAAATGGGTAACACACACACACACACACACACACACACACGAGAGAGAGAAATTATAAAGCAAATATGGTAAAAGTGCAAAGGCAATTTAGAAAAAAAAAGAATAATCTTTTCAATAAAGGGTGCTGGACTAATTGGATATCCAAATGCAAAACAATTAGTAACAATCTATGCCTTGTACCATATACAAAATTTAACTGAAAAATGGATCATAAAAATTGAATGCAAAATATAAAACTATGAAATTATTAAAACAGGAAAAAAATCATCATGACCTTAGGTTAGAAGAGTTCTTAGATACCAAAATCACAATTCCACAATCCACAAAAAAAAAATTGATTTAATGAATGTCATCAAAATTATGTCTCCAGTATAGGAGAAGATACTGGGAAAAAACATTTGTTTCCACAATATACAAAGAACTCTCAAAACTCAATATTAAGGGGGCCTCCCTGGTGGTGCAAGGAGTTAAGCATCGCACTATGAAGCAATCCACAGCCTCTGCAGCACAAGTTCAATCTCCAGCCAGCCAGGGAGCAACCCACATGGCAAAGCAGACCTCTCCTGATGCACCTGTCTCTGATGAGTCCTCTCAACCCTCTACCCCCACATCTCTGGCCTGTACCCCAGCTCTTGTACGCATAAGTAAAAAGAAAAATTTATTTATTTATTTATTTTTTATTTTTATATTCCCCATACAATTGTGACCCCTTATTTTGACCCCAATCCCTCCCCTCCCCATTTCCCACCCCCCATAGAGTTTCTCTGGTTCATAGTTGTTTGTTGATTTTGATTTTTACTTTCTTATAGTTATTCTTTTTCCTGGTCCCTTATTTAAGTTTTCTAGATTCCTGCTATGAGTGAGACCATCCAGTATTTTAAAAAGAAAAATTTTTTAAAAACTCAATATTAAGGAAAAAAAAACTTAGTTGACAAAATATTTAAGCAGGCATTTCATCTAAGAACATATACAGATGTCATATGAACACATGAATGGATACTTTATGTTGTAGTTTAGAAAACTGCAAACTAATAAATAATTGAGAATGACTAAACTGAAAAATGACAAGCATGTGGAGCAACTAATCTTCAACATTCATTGCTGGTAGGAATGCAAAATGATATACAGTTACTCTGGAAAATGATTTGACAGTTTCATAAAAATGTTACACACCTAACATATATGCCCACCCATCACATTTCTAAGTGTTTATTCCAATGAAATGAAAACTTATGTTCACAGAAAAACCTATACACAAAAGTTGATAGCAACATAATTCAAAATAGTCAAAAACTGTGGCATATCCACATAATGGAATAGTATTCAGGAATGAAAAAAGGAATCATCTATTGATACATGCAACAACATAGATGAATCTCAACCACATTACATTAAGTGAAAGAAAGCAGTCTCTAAGATTACTGTAAGGCAGTCCCATTTATATGGTACTTTGGCAAAGGTAAAAACTATGAAGCAAAGAAAACATCAGAGATGGTAGTGAGTGGCGATTTGCTTAATAATGAAGTAGCACATCATCATCCTTTGATGTTGGAATTGTTTTTGAATCCTTTTTGCAGCCTAACATGTGTTAATCCACATAGAACTATGCACCAGAAAAACTGAATTGCATTACACAAATTTTAAAAGTAATTTTTTAAAATGTAGCAGGCAAATTCAAACAAATAAAAGGAAACCTTTTCTCAACATTTATAGATTTAGCCCTTATAAATTTCTTCTAAAAACATTATGCTAAAATGCAAGTTTGGTGCTTTGTCTTTCTGTTTCAGTGCCTAATAACTTACTAGATAAAAATAAAGATTGTAAACACTATACAAAAATTGCATTGATAAAGAACAAAAATACAAACCATTTTTTAAAAATTAAAAATGTACAACTTACACAAAGAAAACTATAGATTTTTATTGAGTGATAACAGAACATTTGAAAAAAATGGAGTGGCAGCATGACATGTGGGATCTGGAGTCAGGAAAATTCGAGCACAAATGGTATATTCCTTGACAAAATAACCTCTCTGTAAATCAGTTTCCCCAATTTTAAAATAAAGAGGCGATAATTACACATTTCACAGGTGTGGTATAATGATTGAAGGCTTTGGTCCACTAGTTACTAAAAAATATCATAAAGCATAAAGTTGTAAGAATTACGTTTTTCAAAATCATACAGGAAAAAAAATAATGTAATAGAGGGAAACAATCACAAGTGTATTTAAGATGTGAACAAATAAAAAAGATGAAGAACAGCCTATACATTTAATGATATCCTTACCTAACTTCTTACACTACAGAGTCTCCAAATGAGTTGCTAAAATTTTTAGTAAGGGGGTAAACAATATTATACTACTAAATCCCTGTCAAAATAAATATATAACCCTGGGAAAAGAATTTGAACCTTTGGCAAAGGATCAATATCTTTATGTATAAATAGCTTTAACCAATAAAAAATTTATGAATGCTCCAGTTCAAAACATTACACAGACAAGCAAACAACTGTTAAAAGAACTTGAAACTACCTACAAGCAAATTTATAAGGTACCTGCACTAGTAGGCAATGAAATGAAAATTTAAGAATACAAATCCATTTTATTGCAAGGCAGACTAGCAAAGATGAAGATGGAAAGCAGCCAGTGTTGGCATGGCCAGGAGTAAATGGATAAATTTTAAATTTATGAAAATAAGTATTTCAGCTGGTAAAGATGTAAGTTTTTCCTCAAAAGCCTTAATGGTGTTTTCTTCTGGCACAGCTGCTATATCCCAAGAAATGTATCCCCAAAACTGATGAATAAATGAATTGTATGTCCAAGAGTGCTCATGACAGTATGGTTTTTAAGACAGAAACAAAACAAGAAACTATCTTAACATCCAGAACAGGAGATTTGGTAAGTAAATAATTGTAGAAAGACAGCACATACCCCTCATGCTGTTTTACCTTCTTTTGTGACCAGCATTAATAGTGCCCCTGGGAAGGGGAAGTGGTAGATGGAAAAGACACACCACCATTTCCACAGCCAGGTCTGACAAGGCCATGCAGCCTCTGTCTGGGTCTGCTGGGACACTGGCTCTGGAAATCAGCCTGAGATTGTGAAGAGGCCAAAAGCCCTTAGGAAACAGAGGGACGTAGCTGAGGCTCCTAGTCCACAGCTCCCTTGAGTTCACAGATAATAGCTAGCACCACCTTACCAGTCCTGTGAATGAAACATCTGGAAAGTTTATTCTCCAATCAAACTCAGACTTCTCCGACAAAAACAACCTTGTCCAAATGACAGATTTGTGAGTAAAATAAATTATTTAAGTCACTACATTTTGAAGTGGTTTGCTACACAGCTATGACAGATACATGAAATACAACTTTAGTATATAATGAGAAAGGAAAATTTTCCAGGCACATAAAAGTTTTATACAACAATAGTCACAATTTTAAAACACAGAAGTGTCTACTAATCAATGAGGAAGAGGCCTTCTGCTATGCAGCCATTACTAAGAACTGG